GGGAGAGTTTCTAGCCTCTCGAATGTCTAGAAAGGTTGTGATCTTTATGATTATATAACTAAAGTTCATTAATGTCTTAGGATGTAATTTATGATGTTAGTAGTGTACTAGTGATTGTTTTGTTTTCAGACTTCTTGTTGTAATATCAGTGTATCTAGTGTGAAACAGCAGTATTTGTTCCTTTGTTTACTATTTAAGCAGTAAAGTCTATAAGTATGATCCTTCCCTGTCTCCTTCCATATATGCTGAACGTTTTACGGTTTTAGGTTCCAAAGATCAACCATTCAAAATTTTATGCAGGTTGTACTGGTAGCGAACTCGCTTCCTGCACTAAATGATGTTACTGCAATGGAGTTGCCTGATATTGTTGCTGAGGCTGCAAAGGTATGTTGATTTTCAAGGACTTTCTATTAGTTATAAATAATGAGATGTATACGGGAGCGGGTCTATAGCTTCAGTTACAGGCTCATGTGAACCCAGTAATTTTTGCTCAGACTCTGTATATATGTTTGGAAATTTCTTAAATATCTATAAATATTTGACTGCTAACCCATATATTGTATATATTAACTTGAAGTCGTTGTAGGAACCCATAAACTTAAAATCATAGATCCGCCTTTGGATGTATAACTCCTCTAAATAGAGTAATAATGCTTTTTACCTTGAACTCTAAACAGGAATAAATCTATGCACGAATAAGGCCTATTTGTATAATATTTTAGAGCTCTCTCTCTCTCGTCCACTCTACATAATATCTCAGTAGCTCAGTAATATTGCTTTGGCTTGCAGCACTGTGATATTCTTCGAGGAGCAGCTGAAGCAGGAGGCTTGCTTGTTGATGCTATGAGTAATATCCAAGATGGTTACAAGGAAAATACACCTTCCGTTCCTCTGATGGTTGTGGAGAATGGATGTGGCAGTCCATGTATAGACTTGAGGCAAGTGAGCTCAGAGTTAGCAGCTGCAGCCAAAGATGCAGATCTGGTATGATGCTCCTTTCTTTAATACACTAAAAGATGTGACTATCTCATTGAGAAAATAAGTGCAACTTACTGAGGATGTTTTTTCCCTGGGTACAGGTAATTTTGGAAGGGATGGGCCGGTCTTTGCATACCAATTATAATGCAAAGTTCAAATGTGATGCTCTAAAGGTAAGGATTATAGCAGTCACTTGAAACATTTTAAAGACGGTTTCTGCCATATTTTTATATGGCTCTAATGAATATCAAATGGAGCTCCATAAGTACCTTCCATTAAAAATTAAGTTTGACTAGGTTTCTTCCATATTTTATTTACGCATGATGTCCTATTATATTAGCTGCTTATTGAACCAGCTAATTTGGTTCTTACGCGGAATGTTGAGAAATGTCAAGTATAATGTGCTCTCTTTGTGCCTCAGTCTTCTTTGACATGGTTTATGTGATTTTTGCAGCTTGCTATGGTGAAGAATCAGCGGTTGGCAGCAAAACTGGTTAAAGGGAATATTTATGACTGTGTATGTAGATATGAACCAGCTAGCTAAAAACTTCCCTTTTTCATGTAGTTTCGATTTATCTAGTCTCTCAGAACTGTCACCCATGCTAGGTAAGCAGGTGCCTCGACAAATATGGTTATAGATGTAAACCTTCAGAAATTGTAATATTGAACTGCCTAAGAGTCAGTTCATACTCGAGGATTGCTCTGAATAGGTTCTGTTACGCGTTAATCCTTCTATTGTAGATTGTGTTATTTTCTAGATTCAAGACAATGAAAGTTTTAAGATATTATTATTCTCTTCATTCCGCACTCTGTTTTCTCTTTCCCCATTTCCTTGATGGGGATGCTGTGTAAATTCAATTTGTGAAGTTCATGAGATTGATGTAATGTCTGTTATCAAGAAACGGATGTGTATCCGTAGAAAGCAGAGGGGTTGGTGGTTGTCTTTTTCTGATAATATCTTTATGAAGTACTTGTTTTTTGCATACAAAAACACTTGTTGTCCGATCCTTCTGCGAAGCTTGGTCATAGCAAGAGCTTAGTGCATTGGATTGCCTTTTTTTATATTTATTGTTATGTGAGTTGTAATGGTGCTATTTAAAATAGTGATGGTCTACTATATATGTCATATTTAACCACTTTGTTGTTACCTCTTTTGTTGCGTTTCCTCCTTGCAATCCTACATAAATGGATGAACTACTATGATACTGAAGATCTACATAAATGGGTCATATATGAAGCCATTAATTGCCTTCTAAAATTCTTCTTTATTTTCAATGGTTATATTCTCCTTCACTTACCGAGGTGATTAGACGTGACGTAACATTCCACATGTATTATAGGAAGATAAGGAGGACGGGAAATTAGGGTACAAAATTAGTAGGTAGAAAATTGTTATTGTTACTTTTATAAACTATCTCATTCTTTGATTGTGGTATTACTTGTGGTTTCTTTGCTTCCTATTTTTTGTTGCTATTGTTCTCTTCATTGTTTTACGATATGAATTTCTGCTATTGTATTTGCTTTACATATTTGAGTTTTGCTATGCTTTAATTGAGTTGAAGGTCTATCAGAAACAGTCTTTCTACGTTCACAAAGGTATACGTAAGATTGAGTACGCACCACCTTCTTTCTTACCCACTTATTAGATTACATATATATTTAAGAATTTAAAAGGATTTTTAGTAAAAGTAAATATTATATATATTTATATAACCCGAAATGTATTAACACGGCAGGGCATTTGGTCTAGTGGTATGATTCTCGCTTTGGGTGCGAGAGGTCCCGAGTTCGATTCTCGGAATGCCCCCACTTAAATGATATCTTTTTTTCATTTTTTATTTGTTAGTTTTTAATTATTCACATGTTGCACTATTTCAACCCTCCAAAAGTAGTAGTAACAGCATATTTTGAGTTGTTTGTGATTTTATTTTTTTAACCTGTGGATTTTGGCTGAACAGTAAAGGTGTAGGCAAGTTTTGATGTTATATATTTGTCTTGTGGTGTTATGTTATTTGACCAGTCAAGAAATAAATAAATAATGAGAAGAAGGGAGGCAGTCAATGTCAGAAATCATGGTATTCCAGGCCTTGAAAGGAAAAAGACAAATATGTTTGAATGAATGCAAATATATGTATGGAGAGTAAAAAGCATCAATGACCAGAAAATGTTGTCTATAAATCTTGGCTTATCCAGAAAGCATCATTTGTAAAACAAGAATCTCTTGTCATTCATTCATTCAATTAAGGGACATATATCAAAAATATCAAGTCTAATTCTCCGTACTCGGTGTTTAAACTAAATCATATACTACTTTATTATGATTAAGTCAAAACTTAATTTTGTTAGATTGTCCTTTAAGTGTAATCCTCCTGAAAGATAGAGTTGCTTGAGTTGGTACACTCTGATTTATGCGGTCCAATGAAGACAACAACTTTGGGTGGTGCACTCTATTTTGTCACTTTTATATATTGATGACTATTCAGAAAAAAATTAGGTCTATGTGTCTGAAATATATCATGTATATTTTATTGAATTGGTGTAAACATTTAAGTTAGCTCCAAGTGATATTTGGAATATCCGATGCCGAAGGTGTATTTAATTTAAGCACTTTAATTTAGGTGAAACTTAAATAATTGAAACATTTATAAATGAAGGTGAATCTTTTTTCTTTCTTTTCATGGATATATATATAGCCAAATTATTTGTACGTAGTTTATAAAGTACTGATGAGTAAGCCAGTGTTATAATCATGACCATCGATCTTAATTAAATAACATAAAAAATACTATTGATTGCTGAAAAGTGAAATAGGACCATCTATTCATTCAATTTTATGATGATACATGACACTCAGGCAAATCTCCTTATTAACAGAGACTCCTAGGAGGATTGCATCACTACCTATCATAATAACTAGATCTACAAAATATATAAAAGTAAAAAAATGTACCTTCAAAGTCAAACTATAATAACATAATATATTCAGTGCAATTCCATAAGTTAAATCTAAAAAGATACATATACGCATATTTTTATAGGGTGTGAAACTATCAAACTATATAATATAGATAGGAAAAACAAAAAAAATCGCTTTATTGGATCAAAGGACGGTGCTAACAATGGCATATATATATATAAAACTTACAATATTAACTAAAATATAATTGCTACCTGTTTATTAATGTTGTAAAATAAAATAAAAATCAAATGTTGTGAATGAGAAGTTGTGTAAATATATCTTTTTAGTCTTGTCTTCTCCCCAATGTTGCCAAATTCTGTATTTGAAAATCAGAAATCTTCTTGTTTTCAACAAATAAAACTATTTAATTTACAGACAATCTCATATCAGTTTCATGCCAGAAAAGGAGCAAATATCGCTTTTTAGGAGAACGTTTCGTACAATTTAAAGCATTCAATTAGTTTGGTTTTCTTCTTCATACTTCTCCAACATTTTTCGGTATTTTAGTTAACATAAATGAGATTAATTTATTGTTCCTTTTAACAACTCAAAAGAACAAATGGCATTATTTTTTTATTCATTTGAGTACAAAACTTGTCTTCATATTTTATCTTATTCTAATCATTCAGAGGGCATAAATACAACACTGTGAGCAAGTTGTGTGAAAAATCGCAGCTGTTTAAATCCCCGATCGAAATTATCTCGTATAAGACCTTAGTGATTAATCCAGCGTGTGGGATCCCAACTTTCGTAATAGAACAATTAATTCCATTTTGATCATTGGTATCTTTAAAAAGAATGAAACTAAGGCAAAAACCAATCAGAATGAATCTTTGGAAAGGGATGTGGTGGATACTCGGTAAGCTTGCCATTCTTTTTTTCGATTCTGAAATAACTTATTCATGTTTCCAATATTATGAAGATTACATTACCTCAATAAAAGGAAGAATCATACATATATCAAATTCTGCTAGATTAACCATGATATAATTATACGTCACTGCATAACTTAATAATATCAATTAGTCATATGGAAGAAGGGAAAACAAAAGAATTATTAATCATACATCAAATTATTAATTAATAATCGACTTTCAAGTTTTTTCCAACCAAAAGAAAAGAATACATAATATTAATTAACATCTTATTTTTATTTTCCCCCTCAATAATAATAATAAAAGTTAATGAGGTCGAAATTTTTGACTGCAAGACTGGCAAGTAACTTCCATGCACGTAGGATCAATCCTACGAGTTGCTCTTTCTTTCAACTTTTCTGCTCTTTCAACTTCCTCTTTTGCCCTTTCCCACATACTCCTGGCACGTGCGAATTCCGACTGAGCCATCTCTATTTCTCTTCTTGTAAGCTCCCTAACACGTTCGGCGTACGCTTTTTCAATGGCTGCTAGCCGGATTTGCTCGGCGGCTTGCCATTTAAGCGCTTCAACGTAGCCCGAGTCGAACCGCAGATCGGTAGTGTAGTGATCGTGGTTAATTGCAGGTCGAATTAAGATACCTTGATTATGATGTGATGGTGGTTTTATTGGTCGTCGTACGCTGATTGAGAGTTGTAGGTCTAACGAAGGAGGTTCAATTGATTCCATGTTACCCGACGAATCTGATGGCCACGAAGAGGAATTTGCTGCGTTTTGGTGAGTAGACAGAAAATGTAGCTCCCTTTGGTGATCTTCCATTATTATCTCTCTCCAAGTGATGCTTCTCTGAAAACAAAAAAACAAAGAATTAGGGCAACTTAAATCCTCAAATAATTACATATATATATATATATATAGAAGAATTAGGGTAACAACCAAGGAGTGTCTTGGGATGGATAATTCCTTCATTCTTAGTTAGATGTTTTTAATTTCATTTGGATTTTCATAATGAAAAAAAATAAATAATCTCTGATAAGGAATATATGGTGCGAATTTGGATTAGTCAAGCTAGTTAGGTTAAGATACCAGATTGTTATTATATGGGGGGGGGAAAAAGGAAAAAGGTAAGTTCAACTTTTGAATTATATATATTGAACTAGTATATATGTATAACTTCAATCCAACAAATAATTACTACATATGTATAGATCATTGCATTATTCTTTTGTATCTTACCAGAAAGAAGGTTAAAGAGGATACCCAAAAAACAAAAATCTAGCTAGTTACATTTCATTTTGGCCCTATCATCTACTCTAGGCTCTAGCTACATCTTCAGTACCAACTGATGATGAATGTAGAGTTTGGTAGGTCAAAATGAAATGCAGCTACATATTCTTTTTTTGTCATATGTAACAAAAGAAAATGAACTGTACCAATTATGACATTCTTTTCATTTTAGATACTCAAATTCCTAATTAATACTACTTATAATAGTATTATATATGCATGTTTCAGAATTCAAATCTATCTAACTAATCATATTTATGTTTTGGCATGATATTGTTTTACTTCAAACTAGTTCTTTCATTACTTAGAATTTATACCGTACTAATCAAACTATTACCTTTAAAAGTCGTTTAGTATGAAGTATAAAGTATAATAGAACTATTTTATCATGCATTTGGTTGAAGATATTAGGTAGTCTGTTGATTATTTTATCCCACCATTTATACTATAGTGATGGGATCATACTATAAGTTATCTCATATACCTGGTGGATAACTTGTAAGCAGGAAAACATATTATCCAGGGATAACTAGTTCCCAACCAAACGATAGCGTCAAATCAAATGGGATAGAGAAGTTATGATAGAACAGACAAATAATGCAATTGGAATTCTAGACTGTGCTTGCCTTAGTTAGCCAAACTAGAAAATGGAATTTACCTTAAGCTTGTTGAGTGCATGAAATTGGCCAAAGTATAAAATATTTTAAAGAATACCACTTAATTTTGACTTTTAACTCTATGGATTTAGTTTCCTTTTGATAATAGTTTCAGTGATATCATTAGAGCAGATGTATGAGAATCATATATATAGTTCTCTAAAATATCAAACGAGAAAAATGGAAAAATAACATTCCTTAAGTTATATATGTCTAACAATAAATCACCAAAGATTTTCAGAGTAAAAATGTTCTAATAATCACTATATCTTACAGAGAGACGTATGCCTGGTTCATTTAAAAATACAATGAGTTTAATCTTAAAAATTGAAGACAGAGTTTATATATTAAATTCGCCTCTCATCAGAAACGAGTAAACCGGAGTTGAGGTCAATTAAAGAACAAATATATGTGACACATAGATCCATTAATTATACAGTCATGACTTTTAGAAAAGATATACTCCAGTAGTAGTAATGTTAGAATCATTACCTACAAAAATTATAGTATATGGTCCCTATAAATCTTTTATTTGACCTAACCAAAAGAATGTCAAAAGCATAGAGTAGCTAAGAAAATGCAATTTCCTTTATTCTTCACTAAAAAAAAAATTCCCTTTCTGGTAAGTAACTAAAAGATTTATAAATTGGAATTGAACAGAAAAAATGGTAACTAGCTACATATTAATTTCACAAAAATATATGTTTTGTACGTAGCTAGTAATCAATCGATCAATATGATGCACAAGAATACAATCAAAATTAAAGAAGTGAGATGAAATCTTTTCAACAATAATTTCTATAAAGCACGAAAAAAGCCAAGAATGAATGAATGAAGAAATAGTACCTTTGTGAGTTTCAGTATTGAATGAATTCGTATAAAGAGAGAGAGAGATAGATGTACTAATCGTTTTTTTCTGTTCGAAAGCTTGAAATGATCAGACTGTGAAGGTAAGGAATTAGGTATATGAACAAAATTGAAGACAATAATTGGGAAGCCCTAAAAAAAGGACTTAAAACTTTTTTACAAGACGTTATGGAGGAGAAAATGAATGAATGAGAAGCAACAAAGAGAAAACGACTTTTGAAACCGATAGATTTTGACAACAAATATTTGGGGGGTGGGGTGGGTAGGGGGGCACACATGTATATGTATGTATATATTATATATATGTGTGTGAGTGATATATAGTAGTAGAAGACTAGTAGTAATTGTATGACATATATATACACAAAACCACATGGATGGTTTGCTAGTGGGAGAGACAAAGGCATTACCTACTTGCATGGGTTAAAGTGGACGTACGCAAAGCACCAAAAATGTAATTACAAATTTCAGGAAAAAAGTGAATGTACTATATCACAATTGTGGGTCACCTCATCCGACCCCCCACCCCACACAATACATAAGGTGTATATATTCCCTTTTTCTGGTCTGAACGAAGTTAAGATTTTGAATTTATGAGTTTAAATTTTAAGAATTAAGTGCATTTTTAATACTAATATAAAATTTACATTAAAGTTATTACGTTCTGCTGAACTCATGGACTAGTTCCGGCTCTATCTTATCCTCAAGTTCGTTTTTTCAATATATAATTTATTTATTTTTTCAACTAATGAAATTTGTATTATCAAGATTCTTTCATGTTTAATTAGATGTCTTGCGTTTAAATCTTGAGACTAGAAAATCCTGCTTCATTCGGACTATTAAGGAGGAATAGAAATTAGGTCGGTCAATCAACTTCAATATCAAATGAATAAACACAAAAAATATAGTGAATGAGAAGAGGAATTATTTCTTCTGGACCTAATTAGATGTCTTATTGTACATTTATTTACAAGAGTCTTATGTTAACACATGAAGTTCTTTCTTTACGCTTTGGAGAAACTGGAGAAACGAAAAATGAAGATGAGACGGATTTGTATTTTTAAATATTAAGCCAAGTCATCTCAAATATACTTATAACTAGTGTGATATATATTACGTATCCATTTTGGATTAAGGATGTACAAAAATAATTCAAAGGTCTTAGGATCTCTAAACCTTATACTCGTATATAATTTTCCAATCTTTTAAACTTTCAATATTTGTTCCTTAAATATGAAAAAATTTCAACACTTATATCTCCTGTGTTTGAATCTTATTCCATTTATATACCCCTTCTGTTTTATATTAGTTGTCACATTAATTTTTCGAAACAATTTTTAAAAGTAAAGAACCTTTTTTGTGTTACATTTCTATCCTTTTTCCACCTATTACACAAGTAATCCCAAAAGTCCAAAAGTAAGTTATTCATGTCCCTTAAATAAACTCGTAATGGATAAGTTAAAAGTTAATAAACCCATTAATAAGTGACCATTTTTAGGAACGTGACAATGTTTTCAGATATTTATAAACGGAAAGTGACAAAAGATACGGAATAGATTAAATAATTAATAAAACTTAAATTGATCTTTATCTTAATAGTGATTGATACTAAGTTAAATCAGACATCTAAATTGGGATTGGTGGAGTAATTATTATTATTATTATTATTATTATTATTATTATTATTATTATTATTATTATTATTATTATTATTATTATTATTGCAGGAGAATAAATATTTGAAAAAATTACAGAAATCCCACCTTTTAGTTTACTTATTACCATTATCCCCTATATGTTTTACAAATCTCCAAAATTCCTCATTTTCGTGCATCAAATTAGTGTATCTCGCGCATCAGATTAATGTATCAGCGCTTATATTATTGTATCTCGCGCATCAAATTAGTGTATCATGTATAAAATGTACATCAGATTAGTGTATCATGTATAAAATGTAATGTATCTTACTTAACGATTAATGTATCCCGCGCATCAGATTAATGTATCAGCGGTTATATTATTGTATCCGTTTGAGGGATTTCTGTATTTATAAACTTTTAAGGGATAGATTGTAATTTTGCTTTAAAAGTATGTAATTTCTGTAATTTGCCCTAAATATTTTAAACATTTTAAAATTAGCGTAGAAGAATGACGTGCTTAAAGTGACTAAAGTAATATTAAATTAATTAATTCATAAGTATCTTCCACATTATCCAAAAACATAAACGTGGAATGTTGAATTTCGTTCTTAAGCAACGTAACCATCAGAACAACTAGCAAGATTTAGTTATGACAGCAAAATCTTCATGATTATACTCCCACCAAGTGTGTGCTACTGTTAAAAAAATTACCATTTAATTTAATTAATTTTGTTACATTGCAAATATACTAATTAGTACTTACTACGTTATAAGAGAAATAACGGAATTCAAAGTGAATTTTGAATCGTCTTATATAAATGATCAAGTTAACCTCTAATTTAGTATTTTAGAAAATTCAAAATTTATATAAGTCAAAAAAATTATTTTATATATATCATATAATTTCTTACTGAGATGGTTAAACAGAATATCATTCCGCCCCCGAATGAATAAGTTTCGTCATTCATTCGGTTTTAATTGATGATGTAGTGTCATTTGTCTAGGTATAAATGAAATTTGTTATCTTAAACATGCTTAAGATTTTTATAGTGTTAAGAACTAATTACATCTTATTCATATTTTTTTTCAAATTACAAAAAAATCTTAAATTTTGTGGAATCCGGATACATACCAGAAACGTTGTGAATTATCACATCCCAATTTCAAATACATCGCATCTCGATTTCATATATATCACTCAACTTTTCGATATATCATGTAAAATGATGTATCCAAAAATAAAAGAGAGTGATTTTTTGTAATTTTTCAAATGATTGAAAATTTTAGAAAATATAATAAAATAAACAGTATATTTTTTCCATTAAAAAGAAAAATAGTGAAACGGGGGAGTGTGTATAGATAGCGTTTGTTCATGTCAGATGAGGAAACAGTGATGTCATGTGTCACCTCGTCGATGAATCACATTCATCGTATTAATAAGTTGAATAGTCTTCTTTTTCTGGTTTCTGTCTCTTTTATATGTGTGGCCTGTACAACTCCACAACAATATTCTCATACTTCAAATACCAGAATTTAAACATTTATTTATAGTAAACATAACTATTTTGTAACAATTAACACATATGTCTACTCTACTCTCCTCAACAGTTAATATTGTTTGTGCCGCACGTTAAGATAGACTGTTTATATCACATTTTTTGGATATGAGTTATGATTTTTTTAAATCTTGCTAACGTTGAATGTTTTGTACACCAAATAACTTTTTCAACTTATAAAAACATTTTCAACACCTAAAAGCATTCTTTTTTTTTAATCAGCTAACTCAAACAATTAGATCGTGTAGACATAAACTTAAGCACATAAATTAATACTGAAACGTTTGGTGAGAGAGTAATAATGAGATTCACACGTGCATGAAGTGTTGTATGTGTACTAATTTTTGTTACTAATTCTCCTATATTGAAGATGGAGCTTAGGGTAGTGTCGAAATTAGAAATTTCATTAACATGCATAATAAACATATGAAGAATAATTTATTTTAATATAATTTTTTGAGGAAAAATATTCGACTGACCATCCTTCAATGCATATGACTACGTTGTTGGCAGAGGCGGACCCACCCTATAGGTTGGGGTGCATGTACACTCGTTAACTTCAGAAAAAATTATGTGTATATATATGTGTATATCTATCTTGTTAAACTGACATAAATTAGGATATAATTAACTGTGCACCCATGAAGAGTATAGATTTGTCATTGTGTTATTGGTACAAGCTAGAGCAACCACCCACGATACATGAATTCGAATTTAAAGTAATATTGATGTACCTGAAGTCTTTAAATCTTGAATTGGCCTATGGGAACAGGGGGCAAGGGTCCAATATTGGGTGGGGGTGGGGTTAGTAGTAGTATAGTAACTTTATAGAAGATAGAGAGAGGTTTGAAGAGGGTAGCTTTATTGGTAGGGTTAAGTTGTCGGGGTTCTACATATATACCAAATGAATAAAGGTAGCTACTGATGGATCTCTAACTTTATTTGATCCATCGATGGCACGTGGGAGGGTGGCACAAGAAAATGAAATGATGAAGATGATGAATTTCATGATATATATATAGTAATTATTTTTGGTTCTGCAGAATCTACTGCTTGGAACCTTTATATCTGTGGGTCCATTCTCCATGTGGCTTTCCACCATTTTGTTTCATCATGTGCTTACCCCCAGACTTGGTTTCAACTTTAACATCAAATTAACAACCATATTTCTTAAATTTCATATACTCAAAAAAGTTTGAAATTTTCCGTACGTACTCGATCAATTGAGTTACTAAGATTATATACTTACAAGTTCGAAAGAGAAGGAAAAAATTACCAAGGATGCGAAAAAAACAAACTAAATAAAGATTTTAAAATTATTTATAAGCAATACGACTTAAGTTTGCTATGAGAAAAAAATATGTGTTTTTAAGTGCATTACTACTCTAGAGTATCAAAGTCGTTTCATGATTATGTTCTTCATTTACTAGAAAATTGGCACACCAGTTTGCCTCTATCTAAATATGTTTAAGTGTGGCCTTGTTGGCAATAATAACAATATACTCAATGTAGTCCCATAAGGTGGGATCTAAAAGAGTAGGTATGTGTATCCTTACGACCTTACCACTATCTAACAGAGAGGACATTTTTAAAAAAAATTCAGACTCAAATAACTCAAATAGAACATATAGAAGGAAAGAAATAAAATATGTAGAAGAGGAAGCATTGCATAACATGGAGATAAAGTCATGTGATAACCAAAACACAAGACGAGAACAATAGCAATATAAATCACAAGACAAGTTTAGACAGCTTGTTGATCTTCGACAAATATCTATAATGATCGATAATAGGTCAAAGGAAATGGTGTTGATATGTCCTCTTCATTAATAAGTAACGTTTACTGTGATTAAGCAATATGTATCCTCTATTTATGCAATATTGTACTCTATTAATTTGTTAATGTAGACAAGTCAAAGAAATTTTTTATT